ACTCGGTCAAGATCTATTGTTAAGTGAAAAAAGCAAGGAGCACAAGCGCATGTACCGTAGGATACTATTCATGCAAAAAAAAAAACCAAAACATATATTCAACTTGCTGGACACACAAACTATCAAGAATGGTTGCCTGTGGCCAGTAGGACTGGGAAGCTTCGGAAGAGGAGCTGTATTAGCACTGTTCTGTGGAGGCTGATCTCTTTACTGCGTGCATGTAACACTTTTATGGTAAAAACTCGTGTACAGAAGCTGGCAATGCGCTACCCACATACCACTTTGCCCTGGGCTGCGCCAGGTAGGGTGTTTCTGGGTGATTTATACCAAAAACTACTCTGCCTTGTCAGGCCACAAGTGCCAGGGAATGAACACTGCCCAGGCAGCCCCAAACAGCAGCTGATGGGAGGGGTGCACAAGCACCTTGCCTCTCTGCTGGGGTGACACTGGGGCATGTGTTTCACACCGCCCGCCTGCGGTGTAACTAGCGTTCCTACTAGCTGCCTTTCCTCCCTGTTGGTGTCTCTGTACCTCCTAAATTAACCCCATACTCCTGAACTATCTTCTCAGGGTCTGCTTCTGGGAGAAGCCAATCCAAGGTAACTGGTTTAAATGACCAAAAAAAATTAAGGAGAGAGAACTTGGGAATCAGACAGACCTGGACTTGATCCTAGCTCTCTCAGTCTCTGGCTGTATGATACTGGAGGAAGCTCTTTGGCTCCTCTGGCCTCAGTTTCCACATCTGCAAAATGGGCTTAACGGAAACATCTACTTCATAGATAAGCCATGAGGACTGAATCCGGCAAATAATGCATGAGAGGCATGTGGCCCAATGCTGGTACATGGCGTGGCATGTATGGCTCAATAAATGTTATCTGGGCGCCTGCCCAAGTTCACCTGAGAGGCAGAGAAGCTGAAGTTGGTCCTGCTATGGCCAGTGCACCTAGCTGACACTCCTGTGGCCATTTCAGCAGGTTCCGTGCGCCCTGCTTCCTCCTATGCCATTTCTCTGGTAGCTGTAAATGCCTGTGAATGAAGAAGGTACTGGTTGTATTGACAGCCACTGGGGTACCTGACCTGTCCACTAGCCGACCTGGCCTGGCCTGCCCTTTCCTGGCCTTGCTCCAGAGCATGAGCCCGAACACAGCCAGTTTGTGTGTGGGGAAGTGATACACTGACCACCCTGCTATCTGTCCGAGCAGGCCACCAGCATGACAGCACATGCACTGGGTCACCCACTGGTGTGGCATTGAGGGTTGGCCACAGTCAGAGAGGGACTGGGCTTGTCTGTGGCCAAGTTTGGCCAAAATTGGCCTGTGTTTGGGAGAATCCCCTTCACCCCCAGCAAAACCATCACATGCTGTGAAAACAGAGTGAAATGCTCTGCAGTAAGCACATGGCTGGTGAATCAAGGGTACTTTCCCCTGCCCAAGGGTGGGAGGTGTGAGGGAGGGAACAAGGGAGACAAACAAACAGCAGTTCCCAACGCTGCCTGGGCTTCAGAATCAACCGTGAAGCTTTCAAAATGCAGATTAGAAGCCTCATCCCAAACCTGACAGCTCACATTGTCCCAGGATGGAGCCTAGAAATCTGCAATTTTAAAAGAAGTTGCCCAGATGACTGTGATGCCCAGGCAGAGTTGACAGACTTTATCTTTTATGCGCAGAGCCAAGACACAGTGGACCAGCGAGGGGCCTCACCCTATTAGGTATGGGGACCAGATGTCAGGTCCCCTTGTTCCCTGGTTCTTGGTTCCCAGCACTAACGAATGGTTGCTGGCTCCGAGTTGATGAAGCAAATGGGCAGACCAAACAGATGCAGCAAGCGCAGTGCTAAAGTTTAATAAAGCACAAGACAGCTGGGCGTGGTGGCTCACACTTACAATCCTAGCACTCTAAGGAGGCCGAGGCCGGAGGATCATTTAAGCTGAGGAGTTCAAGACCAGCCTGAGCAAGAGCGAGACCCTGTCTCTACCAAAAAAAATGGAAAGAAATTAGCTGGACAACTGAAATATATATAAAAAATTAGCCGGGCATGGTGGCGCATGCCTGTAGTCGCAGCTACTCGGGAGGCTGAGGCAGGAGGATCGCTTGAGCCCAGGAGTTTGAGGTTGCCGTGAGCTAGGCTGATGCCATGGCACTCACTCTAGCCCAGACAACAGAGTGAGACTCTGTCTCAAAAAAAAAAAAAAATTTAATAAAGCACAGGACATTCCGCAGAAGGAATGGGCCAATCCTGCAAGTGGAGGAGAACCTGAGTTTAACAAGCTTTTTCCTTTTGTGCTGATTCCCTAATTTTATGTTAAATAGGGGGTAGAATATACATGGCTTTTCTTGGAAAGGAATGGAGAATTCCTGGAACAGAGAACCTCCCCATTTTTATCTTTGTAAGGCAATTTCCAGGGGTTGCCATGGTATTTGTAAACAGTCGCTGGTGCTGGGGTGTGTGATTTTTACACACACCCCAATGAGGGTAGGTCACTAGAGGACAGTGTCACCTCACTTGTGCGCATGCTCCGAAGGCCCTCAGTTGTGGCCTTGATCATATCTCTACTTTGCGGCCTTTCTACCTCTTTCTGGTTGGTCAGTCCTTGGACACCCCCTATTGTAGACCAAACTTCTGTTCAGCCCTTGGAAGCTCCCTTGTCATTTCATCTCTTCCTTCTTAGAAGCCCCCTTCTGGTCAATTTGTTCCCTCTGTTGTAGACACAGTATCTCCTAGTGCCATCTAGTGCCATCTGGGTCTCAGTGGAAACGCCCTAGACAAAAGCATTTGTTCCCCTTCATCTTTGTCCCAACCTAACAGTACCCCCCCCACAAGAGGCCCAGCGGGGAGTGCCAAGCCGGGTTGGGTGCCTGACTCCAGAGCCCTTGCCCAGGGCTGCGGCAGCTGGTGGGCAGAGTTCTGGTCTCAGCCACCTCTTCTTCCAGGTGGCAGCTGGAGCTGCAGGGTAAAGCGAGGTCATCATAAAGTCTCACGCTTCGGCAAAGCCTTTGAACTTTCCAGAGCTTTTATATCCTCCCTTCCCTGCCTCCTCTCTGCCTCCTCCTCCCAGGATTTTCCTCCTCTCCCCACCAGCCAGCCTTCCTGCTGGGGACACCAAGGCTCCAGCCATCTCTTGGGCAGATGCTGCTTCCAGACAGCCATGCGGCCACAGGAGTCCCTGCCCAGTGTCCCCCAGCTCATCCATTCTTCCCAGAGGCAGGCTCACCTTCTCCCCCATTTCCTCCTGGGAATAGATGCTGCCAGGACAGGTCGCCAGGATGAGCCTTGCTTGACTGAGAAAGAAGTTTTGCTGTCAGAACTGCTGAAATTCTATCTGTCCTGGCTCTAGGTCCCAACCCTTGCAAAGCTGTTGATGCCAAAGAATTCTGTGGCCTTGTTTCTCTGGGTAGGATTTCTGTATTAAAAGGGTAGTTATCCAACTTCCCAAAATGACAGGCCTCTCCGTTTCCAGAACACATGGAAGTTTTTCCCCCAGGAAGCAGTACACTCGGCTCTTCCAGCCTCTCATTCCTGCTGAGACACGGGCAAGCCTTAGGGGAAATTACTGTTGCCGGCTGCACCTGGGTAGGAAAGACCAACACTTCCCGAATGCTCTGCCCTGAGCGGGATGGCGAGAAGACCCCAGGCCCCTCCTCTCCTCCCACAGCCCCTACTCAAGCCCATCCCCGACCTTGCTGCTGCTTCTTGCCAAGGGTTTGCAGACAGGCTTGTTGACCTCGACAAGTCCTGACTCAGTTTTGCATCCAGCATTCCCTGGAAATCGCTCCCTTCTTCCCCGGCCTTCTAACCTCCGGATAATTCCAAGCCTCACGGAACACGTATGTCTCACCAGATTGCTGCGATGTTGCCCAGTCATGATGTCGCTTGGGGACACGTCTCTCGAGACTCAGAACGGGGAAGGGCTGTACTTCTCCCAGCAGTCTGTCTCTACGTCTGGATGTTGCGAATTGTGGGACTGGCGGCATGTCCCTTTTGGTACTGGCCAGCTCAAGGTTCGGAAGGGAGTTTGCGGCCTCTCAGGTGCCTCGCCTTACCTATCCCGCCCTTCTCTGCCCTTTGCTGTGGTGTCCTTTCCCAACTGCAGGGCCGTTCCAGCTTCGGGACAGAGCCTGGGGAAGCCAAGCCTGAGGCAGGGGGATGGCATCCTGAGACCCTCAGGGGCAGGACAAGGTGCAGGCATGAGACAGACCTGGCTTGGAACCTTGGCTCTGCCACCTATGAGCTGTGTGACCTGGAACAAACCACCTGCCCTCTCTGAAGTGCAGTTTTTATGGCTATAAAAGGGGGATAATAAAACCTCCCTCACAGAACTGCTATGAGAGTAAATGGAGTCACTGGTAACAAACAAACAAGAAAAGTCTGTCCTATTTTTTTGTTTTGTTTTGAGACAGAATCTCCCTCTGTTGCCTTGGCTGGAGTGCCGTGGTGTCATCTAGCTCACTGAAACCTCAAACTCTTGGACTCAAGTGATCCTCCTGCCTCAGCCTCCCGGGTAGCTGGGACTACAGGTGTGCATCATTTTTAGTAGAGATGGGGTCTCACTCTTGCTCAGGCTGGTCTCAAACTTCTGAGCTCAAGCAATCCTCCCACCTCAGCCTCCCAGAGTGCTAGGATTACAGGCTTGAGCCACCGCGCCCCACCCAAAAATTTGTCTTTATCCAACTCCAGGAGACATGTTTTTCTCTCCTTGACTCCACCCTGTTTCTGTCAGACCCAAATCAGGACACCGCCTCCTCCTCGGGGAACTTCCCAGGGCTGGGGAACCCCTCCTAACACACCACGCCTCCTTCTGGCACCCCTCCCAGCCCCCCAGGCTTAGGACTCACTGGGACAGAAGACGGGGGAGTTCTTTTACATCTGCTCACCTTCCTTAAGGGCCAGGACGGGGCCCCTCCCCATGGTGTCTCCAGAGCCTTGGACAGAGCCTGGGCCCCAGAATGAGCTGAGCAAACATTTGTCAAATGAATGAATTTCCAAGCCTGTGCTGAGGGGCTATGAAGGTGAATAAAGAGCCTTGTGCTGGTCCCCAAATCCCTGGCCGGTGTCCTGCCGCTCCCTGTTTTTCAGGTAGCAGCGACATCGCCAAATCCTGCTGCTTTCATTATGGCCACAAGATGCTTCCCTGGACCTGGGTACAAAACTATGCATATAACGGTAGCAGCTGCCCCAGCATGCTGTGATGTATTTCCTGAATGTGCTTTCAGGGTCTCTGCCAGCCACGGAATGGCATGGGTGCTGGGCAGACCCCCGCAGTGGCAGGGTCAGCGTTGGGATGGGAACCCGGGAACCAGGCTTGCAGCCTCGCCTCTGTGCTAGCCAGTGTGACTCTACGCCTCAGTTAGAACCGGACTCTCACACCATGTGCTGGCACTGAGCTAGGAGCAGGTATTAAAGAAAGACTAGACAACCCACGTAGACCTTGTTGTCTAGCATAAGAAAAAGGACATTAAAAGATATTTGCACAGAATAGTTTATCACAATTGAGTTGAGTGCTTAAAGGAAAAAATGGAAGCTACCTTTAAGTGCAAATGCATAGGAGGACCTGTGCTCCCAAGAGCATGGAGCCACAGACATCAGAGAATGACATAGGAGAGAAGAGAAGAGACAAACCTGATCATCATCTTTTTAGATAGTTAAGGAGAAGATGGCACTGAAGCACTAGATGCAGAGAAGGGAGCTCCAGGGTTCAGACTGCTCTGGCTCTATTCCTTTGGGTCTTTTTTTATTTTATTTTATTTTTTTTATATTCACATGTCTTTTTAATTCAATAAAGTATTCTCAGTTACTTAAGAGTTTATTTTTCAATTTTATGGAATGACTGCTATGTTACTAGCTAGGTGTACTATAATTATGCAATTGTTACAAAAGCTATAATTAAGTCTTTTAAAGAACAAAAACACCTCCCATTGTAAGAAACTGTGAAACTCAATATATTTAATTTAGAAAAAAACAGTTTAGTAAATTCTAAAGAAAACTTCTAATATTCTGAAATATCCATTTAGGGCCGGGCATGGGGGCTCAAGCCTATAATTCTGGCACTTTGGGAGGCCAAAGTAGGAGGATTGCTTGAGGCCAGGAGTTTGAGACCAGCCTGAGCAAGAGTAGAGACCCAGTCTCTACAAAAAATAGAAAAATTAGACAGGTCTCATGGCACATGCCTGTAGTTGCAGGTACTAGGGAGGCTGAGACAGGAGGATCACTTGTGCCCAGGCCTTTGAGGTTTCAGTGAGCTATGATGATGCTATTGCACTCTAGCCTGGGCAACAGAGCAAGATCCTGACTCAAGAAAAAAAGAAAAAGAAAGAAAGAAAGAAAGAAAGAAAGAAAGAAAGAAAGGAAGGAAGGAAGGAAGGAAGGAAGGAAGGAAGGAAGGAAGGAAGGAAGGAAGGAAGGAAGGAAGGAAGGAAGGAAGGAAGGAAAAAATCCAGTTAAACAAAGAAAAAAGAAAAAGATAGCAAAGTTTAGTGCCATGAACATCTTAACACATCTGACATATATTCATCTGACTATTACTATTTGGCAGAGACCACCTATGGGTCTTGATTGGCTTTCTATAGCTTTAAAGACACCAACATTTAACCAACAAAGAGCCCTGAGCTGGGATCAAAGCAGTGGCTCTGTCATTTACAAGCTGCATAACGTGGGCAAGTTGACGTTCTTCATTTGTAAAAGGCAGGTGAGAGCCCCATGTCAGTTATCTATAACTGCGTAACAAACCCTCCCTAAATATAGTGTCTTGATACAATGACAATCATTTTCTTATCTCTCATGATTTATGTGAGTCAGGAATTCCAGAAGGCTTGGCTGGATGGTTCTGGCTTGGTGTCTCTTATGTGGCTGAAGTCAGATGGTGCTAGATCTGGCACAGGTGGGGGCTGGTAGACATCTCTATCTCTGCTAGGCCTCCCCTTGCTCGGTCTCTCTGTTGCGCTGGTCGGGCTTCCTCATTACATGGCACCCTGGGAGTGGTAGGACTTCTATATAAGTGCTTTACCGTCTTCTATGACTTAGCCTTGGAAATCACATAGCCTCACTTCCACCAATTCTATAAGTAGACCAGTCTCTGAGTCTGGCCTAAATTCAAACAGAGGGGACATAGATCCCCACCCGTCAATGGAAGTGACGTCAAAGAACTTTGCAGCCATGCTTTCCAACTGCCACAAAGCCCTTCCTCTCCTTCATTTTCCCATTCTTTTGGCTCTTCTCTGTTCCACGTGCCAGGGCATATCTGAGAGCTGTGTAGACACTACTGGGCCTTACAAGGGTGCTTCACCCTTGACCAAGGTTCTCGTCACTTCTGAGTGCTGTAATAAGCTCACAGCAGGGTAAGAAATGCAGGAATCACATAAGCAGCTATGGCGAGCAACCCATGACAAGATGGTTAAGAATGAAGGGACATAATGAGCGTGGAGTTCCTTTCTGGGGTGATGAAAATGTTCTCAAATTGATCATGGTGATGGATGCATAACCTATGAATATATTAAAAACCGCTGAATTATAATTCTACACTTTAAACGGGTGGGTGAATCACAGTCATCCATGGAGGATTGGGTTTAGGACTAATCCCCAACTAATCCCACAGTTAGCCCTAAGGAACCCTCAAATAAGAAAACGCTGGCCCTCTGTATATGTGGGTTTTTCATCCCCAAATACTGCATCTTTGATCTGCGTTTGGTTGAAAAAAAAGTCGCATCTAAGTACATCCAGGCAGTTCAAACCCATGTTGCTGTTTAAGGGCTAACTGTATATGGCATGTGAATTATACGTCAATAAAGCTATTACATTAAAACAAAAGAGTTAAGTGGCATGGTACATGCTACATGCTTCGGGCTAGAGCTGGTAGAAAATGGTACAGCAGGGGTGGACTTAGAAACATGGTTTCCAAAGCCGGGCTCGGTGGCTCACGCCTGTAATCCTAGCACTCTGGGAGGCTGAGGCGGGCGGATTGCTCGAGGTCAGGAGTTCGAAACCAGCCTGAGCAAGAGTAAGACCCCGTCTCTACTATAAATAGAAAGAAATTAATTGGCCAACTAATATATATAGAAAATTAGCCAGGCATGGTGGCGCATGCCTGTAGTCCCAGCTACTCGGGAGGCTGAGGCAGCAGGATTGCTTGAGGCCAGGAGTTTGAGGTTGCTGTGAGCTAGGCTGATGCCACGGCACTCACTCTAGCCTGGTCAACAAGCGAGACTCTGTCTCAAAAAAAAAAAAAGAAAGAAAAGAAACATGGTTTCCAGTGGAAACCAAGGTAGCACAGCAGAGGTAGGGTAATGGAAGGGCAGGGCCCTGGGGAAGTGGGGCAGGGACAGGGAGTGTGCCAAGGCCAGGAGACTGGTCAGGGACTGCCCCTCACCCCCCTTTGCCAGGAGCCTAAGGGTTTCAGCGCTCACTTACCCATGCCTCTTGTTCACAGATTCACTACCAAAAGAGGTGAGAGAATCTGTGCTCACTCAGAGAAAAAAATGGGTGCAAAGATACATTTCTCTACTGGTAACTCAGAAACAATAGTGACTCTGCTGAAATTTCAGCCCAAGGACGCCTGGACCCTGCCCTTAGCTCTGCTGCCGTCTGTGGAGCCAGAAGAGTTTTCTTAGAAGGTCCCCTGGGATGGGTGGGGCAGAAGGTGTTTTCTACCAGAGTTCAATAAAGGTTTTTCATGAGGATTTGACTTGCTCATAACATTCTTAGTCAATAAAACCTGGGTTTTCTTCAAGGAAAAGAAACGGAGTCAATATGTGTGGCTGCCTAGCTGGTCCCCAACCCTGAGCTGACCGTGGGATTGAACTCTGCCATGGTTTCCAAAAAAAGCAAAGACAGCATTAATACCTTTTGGCAGAATGCTAAGTGAATGTTTTAACATTATTTAGAGATAAGTTTCGGTTATTTGGAAAAGCAAATTCTATGCAACACCTCATAGTCTGTCAGTGCTGGGTAAATACAACTCCATGTGTGGCAGCGTTTTCTTTTAAGAAAACAAGATACTAATTAATAAACATGAATAATATCTACCCACAAATCCTAGGACGCCAATGTCTATATAGTCTAAATAAACTTTTTGTAAAAAATAATTATAGGTTAATCACAGTGGCTCATGCCTTTAATCCCAGCACTCTGGGAGGCTGAGGTAGGAGGATCGCTTGAGCCAGGAGTTCGAGGTGCTATGAGCGAGGCTGATGCCATGGCACTCTAGCCCAGGCAACAAAGTGAGACTCAGTCTCAAAAAAAAAAAGACACAATTAATAATACCTTCTGCCACCATGTTCCCCAGGATGCAAACCAAGATGAGAGCCACTGCAATGCCCACTGTGTTCATACACCTAATCAGCTAGCTCGGATGGCTGCAAGGAACCAGTGTTCTAGGGTATCCACCTCCACGTGACAGAGAGGTGAATCCGACCAGTGCACTGAAACATGATTCACAGTTAATACGCAGTGTGTTCTTGCAGCCTCTCCCAAATATCTTTGCACGAGGCAGCTCCCCATAAGGATTTTTAAAGCACATACCATCACCTTGGACCCATTGGGAAGTCCAAGTTGCAAAACCCTTAAATACTCCCCACATGCTTGCACAGGGAACTCCAGGCCATGGCTCATGAGTATAAACCAACCAAGCAGCCTGGAGTCCTGCCGGTTGACCTCTGTGTCGCATTCCCGTCTCAAACCAAATGGTGTCTGTCTGCAGCTGTGTGGCTACTGCTGTCCACACACAAGGATTAGTGTGGCTTGACCCATTGAGTACCAAGCATTTTCAGGAATGGGGGCTGTGCCTTCGTGTACCCTTGGGGGCATCTCCTATGGGGGCTCCGCGACAGGGGCAGGACGGGTCTCTAGTGCTTGAAGGAGATGTCAGGAGAGAGAAAAAGCACTGGCCCTAACATACACGTAGTTCGTCTCCCAAGGGAGCTGTGGAGGAGGTGTTGTGTTGCTGCAGGTGTGCATGCCACTTTTGCAAAGCGGAGGCTTCAGCAATTGTTGCTGTGGGCCTGGCAAAGCACCCTTCCATCCGGCCTTTAACAGAGAGACCTGGTCTCACTGTTACGGGCAAAGCAGCAGTTATGGGTTCAGCTTGCTGTAAAGCCTTGTATACCCCCAGGAGCTGTTGTTCAATCAGGAAATAGCAGGTTTCAGCGCCCTTCCATAGTTGTGACCAGAGTCCTAGGGGAACTGCTTTCCTGTGGTGGACTTGCCAGAGGGCCCTTGTGGCCCCCTCAGGGCTTATGCTCACATCTAAAAACAATGGCACCTGGGAAGGGGGGAACCTAAAGCTTGTTCCTGGGCCACTGGTATTTTAGCCTTTGCAGATACTCCCTCTTGCTCTGTATCTCAGCTCCGACTAGTCCCCTTCGTTACTGGTCAGCATACAGGGTGCAAACATGCAGCTACATGTGGAATCGAAGCCCACCAGTATCCCAAAATACCCAGAAAACTTTGTAACTGTTTAACTGCTTAGGCCTGGAAAATTGTATTTTGTCAATTGTGCTTGGGATAGGTGTGTCTTACCCAACCAAGTGACCTCCCGGAACCTTACAGCCAGTCCTGGGCCTTGTACCTTGTGCAGGTTGTTGGCCACCCTCCGGATTGGAGAAGGGTGCACAAGGCAGAAAGGTTTTGCTGTAGCCGTGACAATTCTTCGAAGGCTACCATGACACCATCAATGCAATGAAAACATTTAACAGCAGGTGGCAGTGGACACCAAGTTACATCTCTAGCAATCATTTCATGACAAATAGTGAGGCTATGTAGCTAACCCTGGGACAAATTGATCCTGCGGGTCAGAGTGTAAAGGGATACTGAAGAAGGCATTTGCTGAACCTCACACAGCATGGTGAGTGACTGCAATCTGTATTCGTTGTTCTATCACTTGGTTATATTGGGCACAGCAGCGTGTAACCCAGGAACTACCTTATTTGATTCCTGGTAGACTATTGTCACGTGCCAGGTGCCATCAGTCCTCCTTACTGGCCAAACAGGGCTGTTGAGGAGACTCTGGGCTGGCTGAGTAATGACTTTGGCCAGTCCACATTGTGGCTGCAGTTTCTTCTAGCCCACCAGGAAGATGGTATTGTTTCACATTAATAATTTAATGTGGGGGAGGGAGGCGTACAAGTTCCCATTTTGCTTCACCTCTTAAAATAGCTTTTACAGCCTGAGTCTGCAGGTGGAATCTCCCACAGACATTTGTAAAGTGCATCTTCAAAGGATGTCCATACCCAAGATGTTTTCTGGAATAGGCTAAAGACTGTATAGTAAGCCATGGGACCCCACCCAATACCAAGGAGGAGAGAAGTCTCTTTCACTCATATTGTTCATCCCCCATAATCATCGATAGCTGCCCACTTACCAGGGTGACTCTGGGTTTCTATCAACGAAGGTGCGGTGACCTGTGCCCACTAAAGCTAAGGTCCTCTGCTTGTTTCTGGGATTCCAATAGACTATAAGTTCCACATGGGGCCTCTGGTCACCCTATCTCTTGTATGTGGAGGCAATCTTGGCCCCAGCCCTAGCCTCTAGGCTGGGGAGAAGTCCACCTCCAGGATGCAGAGATTGGCGTCCACTTACTCAGAGGTTCCTCTCCTCCCTTCTCTCCTGGTGGGGCCTAACCTGCGGAGCAGAGGTCAGGGCCTTCCAAACGCCCACGGATGTGGCCTTGGCCTTGGGTTTCCTTTGTCTACCCCAACTGAGATCAGATCATACCACATTAGACTTCCTTTTTTGAGTCCGACATACTTGGCATCTCCTTTCTTTCCTTCCCTCGTCACCAGCTGGACCTTCTGTCTTCCCTTTGCGGTTTCTCCAGTATCGGCTGTAGCTTCCCCCACGCCATACACATCCTGTCCCGCAGGGGAATCAGGGATAGGAGAGGGCCATGCTGCCGCCCCTGGGAGCAGTTTGCAACAACTTATTTTTCATGCCCATGGCAAACACAGCCTTATCTGGTCCTTCAAATTGCCGGGCGTAGATGGCCTGTCGCAGGCCCAACTCCCTTAAATCACTCTGTGCTTCCTCCAGAGAAGGCCATGCCCGGGTCTGACCTGGGAAATCCCTTCATTTGGCCGAGCCTCTCCCATGGCCATGATAATCCGGTCCTCATGTGACTAGGATGGCCCTGGACGTCCTAGCATTGTGCAAATGCTGTCTCAAGCAGGATGAGTGATCTATATTGCTCAATTTTTTTAAGGTTCATCCTCTGCTAGGGAGAAGCCCTCTCCACCGCTAGCCCATGGTTGTACCATCCACATGCCTACGCTTTGTCTTGGCAACTATTTAAAAGTTTTTGCTACGTGCAATAGTTCTGCCGAGGTGTGTTCTCAGATGGTCATGGTTTCCTGCAAAGTCTGTCTGCTACTGCCCAGCTGCATGTGTAGGGCTTTTGTATTCCACTGCATGAGTGGTCTTGCTCCCAAACGGGTAGGGTAATCCTCCTCCTCCTCTTAGATGAACTCTATGTCTTCCTTTGACTCCCTAGTCGGTTCCCAAGGATTCCAGGCCTCAGCATCCGAGTCTGGTGTAGCAAGGACAGTTGCACTCTGGGCTGGCACAGCTTCGGCCCTCCCAGCCCTACGAAGCAGCAGGCTGGGCTTTCCAATTACATTCCTTGAGTTTTGCGCTTATTGGCTAGGCTAGACGTTAACGTGGACGTGGAGGTCCTCATATCCTTTCCTAACTGTAATTCTTCCTCTAGCTTTCACACCCTCGTCTCAGCTACAGACTGCACTTCTGCGGCCACCCATGCAACCCACAACAGGAGAAAACCCACGCTGCCGCCGCACGGCAGCATTCCCTACCACGGTGGGTCATGTGGTTTTCTACTAGCAAGCGTGCCGGGCCTTTTGGCATTTTCGGGGTGTCCCCATGTTCACGTGGTTGCCCACAGGCATCACCACCCCACATAGATAAGGAGGACACTCACCTGTGTTTCCTCTGTGGACTCCTCCTTGCTGGCCAATTGTTTGTGAAAGAGCTGTATTAGCAAAGGGACCACCATATGCAGGAGGAACCAAGAAAACAAAGAACAAGGCACATAAATCCAGTTTGCCAACAGAACGTGATCTATTGGGGGACTTGCAGACAGAAGCGTGGGCTTGGGCAGCAGCAAGACAGGCAGATCTCCACGCAGCTACCCCCAGACCCAGGGCTTATGTACTATAGGAAAAGGGCATATGTGCTCTATAGAGAATGCACCGGGCCATTAAAGTCAACATTCCAGGAAAATGTAGAATGCTCCGTATGTCATAGCCCGTAATTTGTGCAATAGTATCAACGTTGTTTTGAGCTAAGGGTGATATTTACAATCAGATCATGCTCTTGCACAAGGAAAAGTAGATAAAGTGGAAATCTTAGAGGCATTCTGGGAACTAGGGTTGATCAGAAGTCACCATGGTGGATTAGCATGCCAATTCCTCCATTTCCGTTTTCTGGAGGAGGAATTTGTGTAGACTTGATATTAATATTTCTTCAAATGTTTGGTAAAATTATCCAATGAAAACATCTGGGACTGGAGACTCTTTTTTTGGGAGATTGTAAACTACAAACTCAATTTCCTTAATAGTTATAGGGCTATTCAAATTATCTATTTCATATTAGGTGAGTTATGGTAGTTTCTGGGTTTTTTAAAAGAAATTGTCTGTTTCATCTAAGTTGTTGAATTTATGTATGTACATGTGATCCTAGTATTTCCTGTTTATCCTTTTGAAGTCTGCGGTATCTG